AAAATATATATATATGGTATCAGATTGATCTAATTTCTGTGCACTGAGGACAAGCAAGTCCTAGGTTACAAACTGAACTCTCCAATGCAAGAACAAGATGCATTTCTTCCTTTAGGAGGTGCTATTGTCATGAGAAAAGGAAAAGGTTTCAGTTTTGTTTTTGCATGTGGGCGGGTATTCTGTTTGTAATAACTGTTTGGGTACACTATATTTTTAATATGCTAGTTGTGATAATTTCATGCCAAGTAAAAATGTCCATAGTCATATTTTATGTTCCTAAAGTAACAGAATGACTTTCAATCTAGAAAAGACAAAAGAAGTGCTAATGTAGCATTTTTTTCAATTTTTCCGAAAATTTCTGTTTTCCCCTGGAAAAAACTGAAAAAAACCCGGGTTTTTTTCCGAGCTTCAAAACTTCCGGAAATTTTACATCTCTAGTTCAGCATTCCCTCAGTGATCTCTCCTTCCGGCCCAGCAATTTTTAATTGTTTTTATGTTTTGTATGTGTGTGAGCTCTGGCTTTAATTGGTTTTAACGATTTGCTAGGTTTTTAACGGTTTTAAAAAGTGGGGTTTTTTAATTGCATGTTTTAATTCGTTAGCTGCCTCGGTGGCCCTCGTGGGGGCAGAGAAGCAGGATCTACATCTTGTAAAACTAAACCACAAATAGGCAATGCAAAAAACGTCATGCTCAGTCCCTTCCAGTGCAAGAAGCCCCCTCTTAGTCGTGTTCCTGTTCTAGCTTTGCCGATCTCTGCAGGGGCACCCCTTGTTGCCTGTCAGGGTGCATCAGTCCTTGTTTTGCCTGCTTTTCTAAGATCATTAGAACTGGCAAAAACAGCAGAGCTAAGAGTCAGCGGAGCATAAAACTAGTAAAGCCAAACCTCATATGAAATCTCAGTTTTCCTCAAAAAGCGTTCTGAAATAAATACGTTTCCGTTTGCCTCCAGAAAGCCCGGAGGGGGGAAGCTAAGCATGACTTGGGGGTGTGGTGGTGGTGGGGGGTCCAGATGGCAGCTGAGAAATGCTTTGTGCAATTCCTTGCCAGGTGTACCTCTGACTGCGGACTCCTCCCTGGCATTTGCAGAAACCTCGGTAGCTTTCTGTGGCCCTTTTGATGTGAATGGTAGATTGGTGCAACCTTCTTAAATCAGACTAAACTGTTCAGACCAGTATGTGCCAGGGAGTCTTCATTCATTTAGTGCAGGGGTCCTTCCCCGGCGTTCCCACTGACATCTTCCTGGTGGCCGCCAGGTGTTTTGAGAAAGTGGGTGGGACCAGATGGCGCTTTTGCCCACAGAGTTGCTCACGGACCGTTGGATATATCTAGAGAGCTGTGCAGATTCAAAAGCACATTGCTTTGGGCAGAGGCTGCCGCCACATCATAAGAACATAAGAGACTCCAATGTTGGATCAGGCCAAAGGCCCATCCAGTCCAACACTGTGTATCAAATACCAAGTGCCATCAGGAGGTTCACCAGCGGGGCCAGGACATTAGAAGCCCCCCCACGGTTGCCCCCCCCCCCCAGCACCAAGAAGACAGAGCATCACTTACCCCAGAGCCCCTATCTATACCTTGTGGCTAATAGCCACTGATGGACCTCTGCTCCATACACTTATCTAGCGGCTTACCAAAAAGATCTTCACTGCGTGACATAAGATAAGCTGAACGTATGCAAGAAAATATTTTGAAATGGTATGTTCATTCAGGCAACATTTCTGCCTGAAATGCCGCGAGCCAGTTTGGAGTCGTGGTTAAGTGCATGGACTCTAATCTGGGAGAACCAGGTTGGATTCCCCACTCCTCCACATGCTGGAGTGGCCTTGGGCAAGCCATAGTTCTGTCAGAGCTGTTTTCTCAGGAGCAGTTTCTGTCAGAGCTCTCTCAGCCCCACCTACCTCACAGGGTGTCTGTTGTGGGGAGGGGAAGGGAAAGGAGATGGTAAGCCATTCTAAGACTCTGAGTGAAGGGCGAGGTATAAATCCAATCTCTTTTCCTCCTCTGAGTTATTATTAGAGTTATGCAAGACCTCAGCCCTAAAGTGTTGTCATTGGCTCCGCCTCCCGTGGCAGCCATTTTGTGGTTTCACCTGCAAGCCAGTGTCAGAATTCCAGATGTGCCCAGAGATTCAAAAATGTTGCGGGGCCCTGATTTTGTGTGTGGGAAGAGAGGCACCGTTGAGCCTGTTCTAGTTCAGTGGCTTTCAGGTTACCTTTAAGGGACTCTTTCTCCATGGCGGATTCTTCTGCTGATGAATCTCTGTATGGAAGAGTTGAACACCTGCAAGCCAATGTCAGAATTCCAGATGTGCCCAGAGATTCAAAAATGTTGTGGGGCCCTGATTTTGTGTGTGGGAAGAGAGGCACCGTTGAGTCTGTTCTAGTTCAGTGGCTTTCAGGTTACCTTTAAGGGACTTTTTCTCCATGGTGGAGAATCTCTGTATGGAAGAGTTGAGTGGATTTTGTCGCTCTTGCTAGCCAAGGCTGTTAGAGTGTTGCTTTTGTGGATTAGAACGCATATGACTTTCCCCAAGGCGCCCTTCCTGGAATCTTGCCTCCCCCCAAGCACCAAGAAGACAGAGCATCACTGCCCCAGACATAAGAACATAAGAGAAGCCATGCTGGATCAGGACAATGGCCCATCCAGTCCATAACACTGTGTCACACAGTGGCCAAAACCCAGGTGCCCTCAGGAGGTCCACCAGCGGGGCCAGTTTTCTCATGATTCTTGGGAACCTCCAAAATGCGGTTTGAAACCTGCAAATCGGGTTGTTAGGATTTGTGTTTCGGTGACCTTAGTTCCCCTGAACGTTTCTCCCTTTCCTTCTCTTGCAGCTCATTTACAGAAGCTGATGTCTGACAAGAAATGCACAGCTGAGAAGAAGGCCGAAATGGAGAGTGTGATAACCCAGGTCAGTCTGCGACTTGGCAAGTGAAAGCGGCAGCCCCGAAGTTTCTAAAACCGACCTGACATTTTCAGAGAGGCAGGAAGGAGGTTTGACCTAGTGCACCAAGTGCTCTGTGTCTAGCATGGCGGACTTCCTGCTGGTCACAATGCAGTGCTGAATATAGTTAGTGGGGCACTTGCGTGCTTTAAGAACATAAGAGAAGCCATGTTGGATCAGGCCAATGGCCCATCCAGTCTAACACTCTGTGTCACACAGTGGCCAAAACTCAGGTGCCATCAGGAGGTCCACCAGCAGGGCCAGAACTCCCACTGTTCCCCCCAAGCACCAAGAGGACAGAGCATCACTTGCCCCAGACCGAGAGTTCCTATCTATACCTTGTGGCCAATGTTCCCTCTAAGCCGTGAAGCCTTGTGAGCAAAAATTCTACTTTGTGAGCTACTGGCATTAAAGTTGTGAGCGAGCGATTTGTCTGCTGCATAAATCAGTTTGCTCTGGAGCCATCCTTCCTGAGCTTAGACAAAAGTGTGTGAGCCGGAGGCTAAAAAACTGTGAGCTAGCTCACACTGACTCAGCTTAGAGGGAACACTGCTTGTGGCTAAAGAGCCATTGATGGACCTCTGCTCCATATGCTAATCCAATCCCCTCTTGAAACTGTGCTTGTAGCAGCCACCACTTCCACTTCTCTTCCTGAATGCTCAGTTTAGCCATGGCTCAGTGGTAGAATCCCAGGTTTAATCCCCGGCATCTCCAGTTAAAAAGGACCAGGTGGTAAGGTGATGTGAAAGACCTCAGCCTGAGACCCTGGAGAGCCGCTGCCAGTCTGAGCAGGCAATACTAACTTGATGGACCAGCAGTCTGATTCATTGTAAGCCAGCTGCACTAGCTTACAAGAGCCGCCGCAACAAGGGTGCCTGGTAGGGTTGTCACCACCACTGTATATCTGTGGCCCTAGGTTAGATTCGGTAATGTGATTAGCACTCCCTGTAAGCCGTCCAGAGACCCTTAGGGGTTAGGGCGGGATAACAAACCGAATAAATAAATAAATAAATAATAAATATGTTTGTTTCACGTGTGTCATATTGCACCATGCCTTAGGCGTGGTGAGTTTGCTCGGCTCTCCAACCTATCCCGTGAGCAGGGGAGCTGCCGTATGACCGTGAGCAATGTTCCCTCTAAGCTGTGGGGTCTTGAGAGCAAAAATTCTACTTTGTGAGCTACTGGCATTAAAGTTGTGAGCAAGCAATTTGGCTACTGCACAACTTAGTTTGCTCTGGAGCCATCCTTCCTGAGTTAAGACAAAAGTGTGTGAGCTGGAGGCTAAAAAACTGTGAGCTAGCTCACACTAACTCAGCTTAGAGGGAACACTGATCGTGAGCCATTTTTAATTCGCCTTTTTTCTGCCGAATCGTTTCTCTTCTTCCCTCAATGCACTTCCCTGTTTTGGAGCCTGAGTCTTCTGTGGCATCTGGAAATGTTTTTGGGACACGGTTGGGGGGGAATTGTTTCAGAAAACCTTCCATGTTACTTCCATATATTTTTTAAATTTTTTAAATTTTTATTTATACATTTTTTCATATAACACTGCATACAAATATAAATCTCATTGAAAATCAACTTCAATAATACAGATCCATACAACAAAATAGGAACTTTTTGTGTAACAATCCTTTCGTTGAAATCCTGTTTCAAGTGTTTGATCCATATCAATACAGAATAGATAAACCTAAGCATTAAGCATTAAACACAAAAACAGACACAAGAACAGGGTAACTTTATAGCTTTAAAAAATCGCTATGATTTCTTTATACTTTTAAAGGAATTGGTTGGGGAAGTAGAAACAATAGTTTTTGAAAGCGAAGTTGCTTCCATAAACAAATATTTGGCATATCCTTATTGTTCCTTACAACTTCAGCGGCTTAGGAGACTCGTGTTGTGTTACAGTGGCACGAGTCCCTTGTTGGCTGGTATAAATTGCTAATCCCCTCTTAATGCCTTCATCCCTCCCAGTTGGACAACTACGGCCAGCAAGAGCTCACGGATCTGTTTGTGAATTACAACGTGAAGTCCCCCATTACAGGAAATGACCTCAGCCCTCCCGTCTCCTTCAACCTGATGTTCAAGACTTCCATCGGTCCCGGAGGAAACATGCCTGGGTATATTTCGCATGCGGGTCGATCTGTGTCTCATTTCCCTCACTCGGTCAGGGGGACCCATTCCGGGACCATCAACCAAAGGCATCTTCAAGCAGTCTGATTCTCTTTGGTCTCGTCCCCATGCCTCCTAGAGCAGGGGTCCCTGGCCTTTTTGATCCTGTGGAGACCTTTGGGATTCTGACATAGTGTGGTGGGTGCAGACACAAAATGGCTGCCTCAGGGGTGGAGCCAGACCGTCAGGTCCTCAGCTAAGACACTCTCCACACACACTCTTGGCCGTGAAATGCTTTTATTAGAGAGATGCTTGCTGTAGGTACAAGAACTCTTTTTAGGACTGAAGAAAACCGCGGGAACATACAGGTTATAGGTAAAAGCATGAAACCCCACACATCCATATGACACACCTACCCCTTAGCGCAGGGGTGTCAAACATGCAGCCTGGGGGCCGGATGAGGCCCTCGGGGGGCTTCCATCAGGCCCGCAGTAGAACTGGCCATCTCCTGCTTCCAGTTATAGTTTGCTTTGCCAGACTCTTTTAATCACTCAGCCATTTCGTGTTTCCCCCTGGGTCCTAGACTCAGAACTCTGAGCATGAGATTTCTGTGGTGAATGTCAATAAACCAAAAGTAGATTTGCAGCTTACAGAGCTAATTTTTTAAGCATGTTTTTATTTTAAGTAAAACAAAAATCTTTGTGTCCGTGTCCTTTATAAAGTTTATATTGCTATTGTCATTTGCCTGCTGGAAGGAGGTGTTGGCTGAACGCCGGTGAGTTAGCTGTTGCATTGCGTGTCCCGGCTGCCTTGCAGATAAAACAGGGAAATTGGGCTTCTCTGTTACCTGCTGTGCCACTTTCCCCTTCTTCCCAGCAAGTCCCTGACTGCCCTCTGCCTTCTGTTTTTGCCCAAAGCTATCTGAGGCCGGAGACGGCACAAGGGATCTTCTTGAACTTCAAGCGCCTGCTGGAGTTCAACCAAGGCAAACTGCCTTTTGCTGCTGCTCAGATCGGGAACTCCTTCAGAAACGAGATCTCACCTCGCTCGGGGCTCATTCGAGTCAGGTACGGAGAAGGCCTCCTCTTCTCCTCTTCTCCCCAAGGGCTGGGGTGGGGGGCACTTCATCTCATCGTGATCAAGGAAATAAAAGCTTGTTTCTGCTAGAATGACGATCAAGGCCACGGGAGAAGCCTTCCTGAAATGTTCCCTTCCACACCGACCTCCTCGCATTCGTTGCCCAGCACTGTGGTTTTTTTTCTTCCCCTGGCTCCAAAATCTACATGGGCTTTGTGTGTGTGTGTGTTTATTTGACACATGTTCTATTTTATACGTGTGTATTGTGTATATTGGAGCTGTGGTGGCTCAAGTGGTTAAGACGCTGAACTGCAGGCTGTGGAAGGTCGGTAGTTCAGCAGTTCGAGACCCGAGTGTGCCGCGTGACGGAGTGAGCTCCCGTCTCTAGTTGGGGAAGGGACGAACCCACCCACTTCCTAACAACACTTGCTGGGTGTCAGGAAAGGTGTTGGCAGGTACCTTGGTGACCATGGGCATGCCATGTTGGGGACCCCTGGCTTCACTTCTTTATCTGGGTCTCTGCTGTGTGATTTGTGCGAGGGGCTTTTCTCCACTTTGGGGGAAATGCTCTGGTGGCGAATGAATTCTAATCCTAGGGTGCAACCTTCTTCTTCTTTTTTTTAAAAGAGAATTCACTATGGCGGAAATTGAGCACTTCGTGGACCCCAGCGAAAAGCACCACCCCAAGTTCCAAAACGTAGCTGACCTCCAAATCCTCCTGTACTCCTCCAAAGCCCAGACCAGCGGGCAGTCGGCTCATGCTATGCGCTTGGGGGATGCCGTGGAGCAGGTAACGGCACTCATGCTTTGGGGGAGAGCAGCAGCAGAACTGGAAGAAGCAGAAGACAGCCAGTTCTACCGTGGGCCTGATAGAAGCTCTCCAGGGGGCATAATCCGGCCCCCGGGCCGCATGTTTGACACCTCTGCGGTAGAGGACCACAGGTGTTTATCTGCTAAGCCTGGCATCAGAAAAGGACGTGATTTTTCCGGGACAGGGATGTATTTTCCCATGTCAGATTGGGAAGCAATGGCAGGGGGTGAGAGACCAGAGTCGCTTCCCCAGGGAATATGAGCTCCACGGAAGCAAGTTATGTCTATCGGGAAAAGATCGAGATGGGTCACCGTGCTAGGCTGTCTGTAGCAGTAGAAAAGAGCAAGAGTCCAGGAGCAGCTTAAAGACTAACAAAATCGGTGGCAGGGGAGGAACTTTTGTGAGTCACTGCCACTGTTCCCTCAGCTGAGTTAGTGTGAGCTAGCTCACAGTTTTTCAACCTCCAGCTCACAGATTTTGGTCTTGGCTCTGGAAGGATGGCTCCCAAGGGAACTATGCGGTAGCCAAATTGCTCGCTCGCAACTTTAATGTCAGTAGCTCACAAAGTGGAATTTTTGCTCACTGGACTCCATAGCTTAGAGGGAGCATCTTCAGATACAGCTAGAATGGGATTCCGTCTGTCCTATATATTGGAAAGTGGAGTGATTTTAGATGCAGAATGACATTAGCAGGCAAATGACAATAGCAGGCTTGATTGGATTTAATGCATAATGCATCCACCTGGACTGAATCGAGATCTAGGCTCCCTGTCTCATTACCAATGCTGATTTCTCCACGCCTTCTATCTCATCTAAATCCAATGATGCCTGCTATTGTTATTCACTTGCTATTGTCATTTGCTTGCTGGAAGGCGGTGTTGGCTGAACGCCAGTGAGTTAGCTGTTGTATTGCGTGTCCTGGCTGCCTTGCAGATAAAACAGGGAAATTAGGCTTCTCTGTTACTTGCTGTGCCACTTTTCCCTTCTTCCCAGCAAGTCCTTGACTGCCCTCTGCCTTCTGTTTTTGCCCAAAGCTATCTGAGGCCGGAGACGGCACAAGGGATCTTCTTGAACTTCAAGCGCCTGCTGGAGTTCAACCAAGGCAAACTGCCTTTTGCTGCTGCTCAGATCGGGAACTCCTTCAGAAACGAGATCTCACCTCGCTCGGGGCTCATTCGAGTCAGGTACGGTGAAGACCTCCTCTTCTCCTCCTCTTCTCCCCAAGGGCTGGGGGTGGGGGGCACTTCATCTCATCGTGTTCAAGGAAATAAAAGCTTGTTTCTGCTAGAATGACGATCAAGGCCACGGGAGAAGCCTTCCTAAAATGTTCCCTTCCACACCGACCTCCTCGCATTCGTTGCCCAGCACTGTGGGGGTTTTTCTTCCCCCGCTCCAAAATCTACATGGGTTTTTTTTGTGTGTGTGTTTATTTGACACATGTTCTATTTTATGTGTGTGTGTTGTGTATATATGTGTATATGGAGCTGCGGTGGCTCAGGTGGTTAAGACGCTGAACTGCAGGCTGTGGGAGGTCAGTAGTTCAGCAGTTCGAGACCCGAGTGTACCGCATGATGGAGTGAGCTCCCGTCTCTAGCTCCAGCTCCTGCCAACCTAGCAGTTCGAAAGCAAGAAATTGCAAGTAGAGAAATAGGTACCACTTCGGTGGGAAGGGAACAGCGTTCCGTGCGCCTTGGTGTTTAGTCATGCCAGCCACATGACCACGGAAACATCTTCGGACAGCGCTGGCTCTTCGGCTTGGAAACGGAGATGAGCACCGCAACCTTAGAGTTGGACTCGACTGGCTTTCGAGCAAGGGAACCTTTACCTTTACCTTTTTATTGTGTGTGTATATATATAAAACTTCATTTATACGCCACGTTTCCGTCTGTTGGGGACCCAGAGTGGCTTATGTAATCCCCCTGGCCTCCATTTATCCTCACAACAGCCATCTTCAAGCACTTGAAGGGCTGTCATACGGAGGATGGGGCGGAGTTTTTTCCTTTTGTCCCAGAAGGTTGGACCAAAATGAACAGAGTAGAAATTAAATCAGAAGAGTTTTCTGCTAAACCTTAGGAAGAACTTCCTGACAGAGCGGCT